CATAACGACCCCCCCCCACCTCAGCGATGCGCTGCCGGAGCTGCTCCATGTGTTCCCTCTGCCGCTCCCTCTTCTTCATCAGCTGCAGCGCCCGGCCCGCCTCGCTGGCGGCTCCTTTGTACTGCGCCATGCCTGCGGTACCGCCGGGACCGGGCCTCGAACCGCCCTCCGAACGAACGAAACGGGCCTCGGGGCCGCGGCACCCGCGTCAAAGCGGGGAGCGGAACGGAAACGGAAATGAAACGGAACGGAAACGGAAATGAAACGGAAAGGGAGCAGAACGGAGCGACCGAAGCGAGCGGCCGCCCTCAGAGAAGGGAGAAGCGGAAGTGCGACGCGAAGCGGATGTGCGTCACCGCGGCGCGACGCTTCCGGCGTCAAACCCCGCCCCGTTCCCTCTGGGCTTGTCGGATTGGAGGAATGGTTGTTTTGGCACCGCCCCCTCCCTCTGCTTTTAGCCAACCGGAGGAATTGTCTGTTCCCTCCCCATTCCGGTGGTTTTATCCAATCGGAGGAACTGTCTTTTCGTCCCCGCCCCCTTCCGGTGGGATTATCCAATCGGATAAAAAGGCCTTTGGGCTCGGGTTACCTCTAGCCCCGCCCCTTCCCATCGGCTTTATCCAATCGGAGGAACAGCCATTTTGGCCCCGCCCCCCTTCCGGGGCTTTGGCCAATCGGAGGAAATGTTCCTTTGTGCTCCACCCACCTGTAGCTCCGCCCCCTTCCCAGTGGCTTTCTCTAATAGGAGGAACTGCCCTTTCGGCCCCGCCCCCTTCCGGTGGCTTTTGCCAATTGAAGGAAAGGCTAATTTGGCTCCGCCCACTTGTAGCCCCGCCCCCTCCCACTGGCTTTATCTAATAGGAGGAACTGCCTTTTTGAGCCCGCCCCCTTCCTGTGGCTTTAGCCAATCGGAGGGAATGCCCTTTTGGCTCCGCCCACCTGTAACCCCGCCTCCTCTGCGTGGGTTTACCCAATGGGAGGAACTGCCCTTTTGGCCCCGCCCAATTCCGGTGTCTTCACCCAATTGGAAGAAACGCCTCTTGGCCCCGCCCCCTCCTCGTGTCTTTATCCAATCGGAGGAAGCCTTTCTGTTCCCGCCCCCTTCCTGTGGGTTTGCCCAATCAGAGGATACGTCATTTTGACTCCGCCCACCTGTAACCCCGGCCCCTCTCAGTGGACTTTTCCTATTGGAGGAGCTGATCTTTTGGCCCCGCCTACTTCCGGCAGGTGGGGGGCAGCTATGGGGCAGCTATAGGGCAGTTATAGGGCGGCTATGGGGCAGCTATAGGGCAGCTGTGGGGCAGTTATGGGGCAGCTATAGGGCGGTTATGGGGCAGCTATAGGGCAGCTATAGGGCAGCTATAAGGCGGTTATGGGGCAGCTATGGGGCAGCTATGGGGCAGCTGTGGGGCGGTTATGGGGCAGCTATATGGCAGTTATAGGGCGGCTATGGGGCAGCTATAGGGCAGCTATAGGGCAGCTGTGGGGCGGCTATGGGGCAGCTGTGGGGCGGTTATGGGGCAGCTATAGGGCAGCTGTGGGGCAGCTATAGGGCAGCTATAGGGC